CACTAAAAATTGTTCTGTTGAAAGCTCAATTTTATGTTAAAGTTTCTCCCATTTTTCGACAAATCTGTTTGTGTATAAGCAAATAAGCAGAAGGATTATTAAACCTCATTGCTGCTCTGTGTTGGAGCTGGACCACAAAATGGAAGGGGAAGATGCCAGAAAGTATACTTGGCTTATCTAGAGGCTTAAACATATTGTCTTTATCAATTTGTTGTTAGAGGACAGTAATTACTGAACTGCATTCATGATAGTAGCACCAGAAATGAAAAGTGGAATAACCAGGGTAAGAGGAAAATGGGAGAACAGGTCATCTTTCCCTCCACCCCAGGGGAAAAAAAGCTCAGTTGGGATTCTTTTTACTAATAAAACATAATGATGTTATTGTTGCTGATGTTGTTGTTGCTGTCATTATGCCTGTAAAGCAAAAATGCCATCAAAAGGTCTTGATATCACTGGTACTGTTTATGAGGCAACCAAAAATAGATTAATTGCCCTAGAAATGTTAGTGTTATTCTCACTGAAGCACATTGGAGTGGAGGAGGTCAGTCAATGCCTGAGATGATTTCTTGGCCACAGAACACACCATACCTGACCTGGGTGAGCTGACAAACTCTCCTCTCCAGGGTCATGCCCATGACTGAAGAGCTTTCTTACTCAGCCTGACCTCGTGAAAATATGCATGTGTCCTTGATGCCTTCTAGTCATATGTTGCCTTTGAAATAGGCTCTGATCAATCATTTCTCTCTCAGGTATGCATACCTGGGACTGACTTTGGTGTTGGGCACGGTGTCCATTTTCTTCAGTGTTGCTGTCCTTTGGGTTCTCCGGAAAAGGTCTTCTCCACAAGATGAGACCCTCTCAGCCAACGGGGAGAGAGGAGCCTGTGGGACAAAGAACAGAAAAGATAATTTTGTCACTAGTGACTGTTTGATTCAGACAACTTACTGGCCAGAAAAAGAGACTAGACTTTAGGAAGACTGAGATCTCCACCGTGACTTTACCCAGTGAGTGGTGTTCCAGGCAAAAATTCATCATCAGTGAAGCGATATCTTAACACCCATCCTGAAAACATTCATCTTCATTTCATTTTCACTGTAAACACCAAAAGCAAAGACAATCATTTTAGCGCATGTACATCTCTGAAAACACTACTCACCATTTTTCCTGCTAAGTCAATGCCATTCAAGTGAGGGGATTTGGGGAGGTGCAGCTTACTCCCCCACTGAGAAGCTGTTTTTAGGGCTGCCCCTCAGCTCCATCCCTCCTTGTCAAGCTGCAACAGCTGCTGCTGCCCCTTGGTTTCTTTGTGTGTGTGAGAGGCAGTGGGGAGGCTGTTGTGCAGCTCTCTCTGCCATGGTACCAGCCCAGGAGGATATGGTGCACAAAGCCTGACTTGGCAACCTGGAATGTGGAGGGATATTCTGCATGTGGCCTGAGCAGTGCAGCACGGGGCAGGAGGAAGGAGGTTTGCTGGAAGAATAAACCAGCTACAGGCTCTGAGCATCTCATGAATTCAACCCATAACACCTAGGACATCAAATGTTGTGGTTAAAGATTCTTTTTCAAGTAGCTCTGTTATAGCACAACAATAACAGCAATAAAAATGCCATTGCAGTCAAAGAGACCACGGGAGTATCGTCCAAAGGAAACTGGAATAAAAATAGAGCTTTTTTAGGTTTCCAGCATTTTCTTGCTACTTGCTAGTACTCAGTGTACTAAATAATTCCATGCACTTTATGCAATGTAATAATACCATAATACAAGATCCATATGATTTATTTTTTAAAAAGCTATGACAAGCCAGCTTGGGAAAAATAAAACTAATTGAAAGACCAGGTGACTTGGGGCTTTTCCTTTCAATTATTGTATTTTCTAGCTGAAACTAAGACATGCATTATAGTGTCCATTTACATATCATTTTGCAATGTCAATATTTGGTCTTCAATATATTTGGGGTGGGGAGGACAACAGAGAGCTGTTTAATATGGAGCAAAATCTCAAGAAAGTTCATGCTTAAAGATAGTAATAGCACCAGTGTTCTATCCCTTAAAGCAACTAGAATTTCTGAGAACATGATGGAAAGTAGGCTTCACCTTTCAGCACAGTATTAGCAAAGCAAACCCATAGCACATCATTTGTGCCTCAGCAGTGACTGTAGGTACTCTGCAGCCTAGCCGAGTGTGCAGGTCAGAGGCAGATGTGGAGCCTCTCCTGTGGGATGCAGGAGGAGGCACACATGTACAAGAATGGGATACACTGGACATTATCAATAATAAATGATACATATTCTGAGAGTCAGTGCTGAGGCCAGTCCCTAACGGCACAGATTTTCTTTGTAGAGTTAGAGATATTAAACCACAATCAAGTGACTGCAAAGAAGCAAATATCTTTGATTTTCAAAGGTGAGACTGTTCAAAGAATTGGCTGTTAAAGGAATCCAGCCTTTGACATCAGCCCTTAAGGCCAGAGTGGGAAACACAACCTTGTTAAGAAGTACCCACAGGCTGTATGCTGTGTGAAAAATGGTGTATTATGGCAAGGACCCTAACTGGCACATACAGGAGAAGTCAAGAGTACCAGGCCATGTCACATGATGGGATGTGCAACCAGGCCTGGGACACATGAGCCAATGCACATTTCCCCTTCTACTTCCCAGCAAAAAATGCAACTCTCAAACGTCATAGTATATCTTACTTAGAGGCACATCGTTTTAATCATGCCAGGAGGGAATCATCAGGAACTTCCAAGAAATAAAGGAGGCTGAGAAATAAAGACTGTGAGAATAATGCATTTTATCTATAGCTCATGCCTTCCCAGCATTTGGGGATCATCAGTGAAGGATGGAGTATCTTCAAGTCACAGACAGTAGAACAACTACCCCATCCTTGTTCCACTATCTAATCACTATATATGATCCTGTAATCTGAGTTACCAAAAAAACAGACAGCAAAGAGTGTGAATGTATGAAGAAGAATACAGAGGCTGAATAATGACAGGTTGCCTCCTTGAAATGCTCAAAATAATGAGTAAGACTGATGTATGAAACAACTGTTGTAATGTTTTTAAATAACAGCATGATTGGTATCATCTGAGAGACAACACTGACAGTACCACTTGGGCTGGTTTGACTGTTGATGACACAACACACAGCTGAATTCTGCATAACACTGACAGAAAAACCCAGTTACTAGAACTTACTTCTAGAAGGTATGAAGTGCACAGTACATAGAGTTGCAAGTAGCTAGTTCACAGGGAAATTTTAAAAGTATTTGCAAATAGATAAACATTATTAATAATTATTAATAATCTAGCCCAAAGGCTGTTGCCTAGAGGGATCATAGGTCTGACCCAGGCTGGTTGTCTCTTTTTGTACCTTGGAGCACCACTAAGCAAGTGCTGCATGAAGCAGTTCTTCATCCAGTGCTAATCAATCTCTAGAAGAAAGAAAATCCATAATTGCTGTAAAAATCATGAGAGCAATTTAAATGTGGTGCCCTTTAATGGTGATTTAGAGTGCTCATTAAAGGACCTTACTTAAGCAACATGTGGTTAATATCAGGAGGTTAGTTAACCAACAGCTCATCACAGATTAATACAGTTCATTGAATTTTGAAGAGAGTAAATAAGGAAAGGATTTAGTGGAGAGAAAGTAGAGCACATTCTCACAGCTGGATGGTGAGCAGGTCAGGAAGCTCTCTCATGGCTGTTGAGCATGGTAAGTTTGCAAGGTTGTTGTACACAGTGGTATCCAGAACACTCTTGTAGATCTTGTGATGTTGGCACAACTAAAACAAGATGCTGAAAGGGACTGGTTTAGAAAAAAACCCCTATGATAGTTTATGCAGTCAGCAAAAAGCTGTTTATTTAACTCTGCAAAGGTGGACTATGTTCCAGTGCCTGGAATTCAAAGAGGACAAAACTGTATTAGAAATAAGATAAATTTTTTTCACTAGAACAACTGTCTTTGGGATGTTTCTGACATCTGATAGATTTTTCTGTCATGTGTAGTCTTTAAATCAAGAGACAACCATTCCTGCAAGAGATTGCTCTAGTGTAACAAGGCAGATGAACAGCTTAATGAAGTGGTGTTGTATATAATGCCAAATATTCCACTGCAAGAACCATAATCATTTTTTCAGTCCTGATACCTCAAATAATGTCCCAGACAATGTGAAGGTGTTGGGGGTTTTGCCCTGAGATTTCAGCCTGCAATGGAGCAACACATTTGGATCAGCTCCTACAAAAGTCTAAGCACTCACCTGCACACCTTCAACTCTGCATCTATAACAACAGCTCCAGTCCAAGCTGTTGGTTAAGACTGAGTGTAAAGAGAAGCTATATGATCAGCATTAATATCTACCCTTTGTATCTTAAGTAGAAAAATAAGAAATATTATTAAAACAGGACATCCTGGGCTACTTTTCCCCAGATAGATGCATGATGCAAAACATATCAATGAGTTCTTGTGAAAGACAAATGCTCCACTGAGCAATGGAAGAATCAAGTCCCAGCCACTAGTTGAGATGGTGACACCAAATCAGCCTGACAGAATGCTTTTCTTTCTTGTCAGCCCTACAGCCACAAACTGAAACTAGACACACTAAAACAGGAGCATCAAGAAGCCTTTTCCATCATTATAAAAGTTTTTCGCCTTCTCAGGATTCCTGTAGTAGCTTAACATTTCCCTAGCTGTACACTATCCCTTTTATTTAGTTCGTTACTGAAGAGTTAAATTTTAAAATACATTGATTTTCTGTATTTAGGGATTAGTGTCCTGAGAATAAGAAGGGCTCTAATCAAAGCTGCCTCCTGCAGTTGGCCTCTGCCTGGCTGGCTGCTCCCTGCTACTCTGGCTCACCCCTGCACTTTGGTTTTGGCAGTCACTTCTTCTGGTGGGAGTCTGCTGCCACCCTCTGCCTGGAGGAGTCTGCAACCAGTTCCTGTGCTAAAGGTGACCTGCTGTGACTGCTGTAAGGATTGTTTTTAATCTCACGAATAACCAGAAATTGCTGATAACTCGATGTTCTTATTAAGGTGATTTTTAGTCTCATAATACTTTTTTTTTCCTCTGAATATAAGTTACAGTCATATGGGAGGGCTTGGATTAAAAAAAGGTATGAAATATGCCTTTTTTCAAGTGTGAAGTCATAATCTTTGATTTGATTTCACTGGTTTCCCATTTCCCTTCCTGGTAATTTTGGCCAAGAGCTCTTGATTCAAGAAGTCAGCTTTGAATGTGAATGATTCCACAGGCAGCTTGGACAGCAACAGTCTGAAGATAGAAAAATTCTTTTCAGAAATACTGAAAGCAAAGTATAAAAGATATTTTAATTCCTGGAAAGTTATGAATTAATGATATATACAGAACTAGAAAAGAAACAGGGATAAACTGATGTGTATTCATGTGTTAGAATAAGTAAACCAAAGGAATAGTGTTTCCTCTTTTTGCTATATGATGGAGAAAGTGGCATCTGTTTCTACAGGTTCTACTACTTCCAAATTAGAGAGTAGATTTAGCTCCATCCCTTTTCAGATGTTTAAGATCAAAATGGAAAAAAAAAATATATCCCTTGGGTAGGTCTGTGGAGACAATCTGAATAAGAAAGCTTGGGAATGCAAAGTTCCATCAGAAAACTTTGTAAAACAACAGGGAACAACTTATCTTGACACAGTCAGAGCATTACAGAGGAGCTTGTGGCACACCTTTCAAGAAGGATGAGGATGTTGGTGTGTATGTGCCCTTGGTGGAACAGCAGCAACCACACAGAGCAGCAGAAGTATGCTACCCTGTAATAAAGAGCAATAACCAAGGGCCAAGATGCTTATCTTGTGACTAGAAAATGTCAATCACGGGATGAGAAACCTGCTGGAAGTCGATGGTTGATGGTTTATGCCACAACAGGTTATGAAGAATCACTAACCCTGAGAAGAAGAGGCCAACATCTGTCGTAAGACCATGAATTTTGGTCTCTTGCATGTAGTTAATGCTAAGTACATGATACCTGACTATAAGAACAGACTCCTAGAAAAATTGCAGGGGTAACAATGTTGGTTGGTTTTCTCGTTGTTGTTTTCATTCAGACTTAAATATGATGGATACAATCATAAGGCAACACCATAGATTTTCTCTGCAATGATAAATGACATCTACTTTGATCATGTTATCAATCACCCAGTTACAGAAAACTAAAACTAGTTCTGCACTAAAAGTTACAAATAAAAGGAACCAATAAAATACCAGGAGAGGTTTACGGAAAATTATAGAACAAGTTATCCATGAAGCCATGAAATATGGGTCCACTGTGACCCAGGGCTCCAAGAGTGAGAATCAAGGATGCCTGTTTTTCAAGAAATTATTAAGCATGATTAGCTTGCTTACCTCACAAAATGGGTTGAAAAAAGCCATGCTGTCTTCATTTACAGTCAAGTTTGAGTTTAAAGTATCAGACAGAGAGGAAGAGTTTTTAAAGCTGAAGGACCCTGTCACTTCGATACCAGAATATGATTTGGCCATGACTGGAAATTGAAAGAAGGTACCTATGCATCAGAAAGCAAATCTTTTGCAGTAGCACTAAAAGTGGATGGAGTGTGAGGGAAAGCAGTTCTCAGTGTTGTCAAGACAGGGACTGGCCTTTACACAAAAGGTACTTTTGAGCTTGCAGACTGGATTTGGGGTCTATTTTTTTTCCTGCATTCTTATTTTGTAATTTCACTAACACTTGCAGTTGAATTGCCCTGCCATACAGTGTTGAACTATCATTTTCTTGGTGATGGTGTTTCTGGTGCTAAGAAGTTAAATGGAACTGTCTGGCTGAGAGTCAGAGAGGCCATGAGCAGTGCAAGTTATCACTGATAACAGTATTGAATGCAAAATTTAATTAAGATCCTCCAAAGGTCAGTGTAATTAACTAGACTGTAATTGTTCATAGCAAATAAAATAGGCACTGAGAAAGTGGTGGCAGGGAAAGGGGCATGAACTGCCCAGGAATGGCATATTTTGGTGTTCCAAAAATGGCTTCTCTTTTCAGAACAGTTACTCCCAGGAATCAGGCAGAATGTACAACAAGGGCACAATCAAATCAAATACTTCTCAGGAAGCTAGTTTGGGTTTCCTTGAACTAGGGCTGTAAGTAGATAAAGAGCTGCTCCAAAGTACACATAGTCCTGGGATCTTTTCACATTTGTTTTGCCTGCACTGCTAATAGCACTAAACAATAAAACTGAACAGTCTTCTAAGCACAAGTGTTTCTTGAACACCCAGTTTCTTCTATATACTCCAGGCATTATATTTTCTTTACCTGCAAGTCTTTAGCTGGCTCTAGCAGGTCTGAGCTGAACGGACTTTAGCCATAGACTGTGAAAATAAAACCTCATACCAAAATGTGTTGGAACCAGGGACATTTCTAAAGTTGGGACATCTCATTTTTCAATGCCAGGAAAAGCTCAGGGAATAAAGATGTTTCACAAGAATGTACAGAGGGAACACACTTGCACGTTTTCTACCTAATTAATTTTTGACCACTGTGGATAAACATGTATTTTGGGACCTTTAACAGAGGGCAGAACTGGGAGGAGACAAGATTAAAACATTGGTTTGTGTTGGAAGTTAATGATTCCTCTACCAAGTACCAGCACAGCTATGCTTAAGGGGAGAATATTCTGACTTTTGTGTGGTAGTATAACTGCTGTTGTTGTGGCTACAGAACCTAGGTAGGAACCTCTTTCATATTCTTTTCTGTTTGTCTTAACCTTAAAATGTTGCCATTTAGTGTTTGCAGCTAATGATCATTATGTGTAGTACCAGTTGCATTTCCTGTAACCAGTAACACCAGTAACATTCCTGTTTTGTCAATGCTTTAATGATGGCATTGTATGTGTGTCACTGAACAGTAAGCATCATGTGTCTTGAACAATGCAAGAAGCATTGAGGTCTGCACAGCACTTTGGTATTCATTTTTCATGTTAGGTTAGCTTGAAACGTCTTACTCCGATTCTATGATTCTATTTAAAAAATCAGTAAGGCAATTGGATTAGCAGTGCAGTTCATGTAAAACATTGTGGTTCCATAGATTACTGGAGAATATGTGGCTCTTGATTTGTGATTTGTTATTCTTCTGGGTGGTGGCATAGCCCCTGAGTGCAACTGTGGTGACAAGGAGCCTAAGGGCTTAGTGTCTGTACTGGACTCTGAAGATTTCTCTCAGACATCACTGTGGGTTTCTTTTGTAAGAATCTACAAAACATGTAGCAAAATGTTGTCATGACCTTTTCAAATTAATTGTTCATGCTAAAGTTTTTTAATTGGTGCTCTTATTTGTTATAATTTGCATATAGTCAGGAGATAGAAAACCAAGCTTAAATGGTTTTAATGTTCACTAATCTACGTGACAGGCACAGAGTTAGGCCTTGGCCATTACAGAGTCATAGACCCTGAAGCACTGAAGAAGTCTGAGGTTGTCCTTAGCAAGGCTGGCCTGCAGTCACTCTAGAATTGTCTTGCAAGGTGCCACATGATTCCCCATGATGCTGGGAAAGCTGTCAGCTCCCATCAACACAAATGATCCACACTGATCACTAATTAAGAGTCTTGATCTTCCCCCACCCAAAATGTTTCTCAGAAGTGACTGTACTAAGCATAAGATCAAATGAATTTGTCCAATGTTCCCTGGGTATTTTTATGCTTAGGAGTTTTGGGTGTTTGGTTTATTTTTTTTTCTTTATGCTTGTTTTTGGGGAGAGGATTGTTTTCTTCCCCCAGAAAGAAAGGTTAATTTTTTTTTTAGGTTGACTACCTAAACAATGCCAATAGGTTATCTGACTAACCCTGTCTTTCTGAAAATGCAACTCAGCTCATTACTACAGCAGAGTCTCTTGTGCAGGCAAAGAAAGGTAGTTTAGAGAAGTCATATTAGTGAAAGATGCAGAAAGTTTCATACTTTTGCTTTGTAACCAGATCCTTGGTTTGTTAAACATGGAAAAAAAATACTAGTGAAATAAACCTAAAGTAGCAACTTTATCAATTCTTAAAATGTCAGGCTCAGCAGCTTCTGTATGCTGACCTCAATTGTGAATTGACCTTTTATCTTTTTTCCTAATCTTCTTGTGGCCTGCAATTTCCCCACTCCTGATCAATTCCACCTCCAGCAGGTGTCTGTATAGGTCAGGGTCAGCTGAGGATGGGAGATGCTGCCAGCACATCTGATCGTTGCACACAGCTTGCTCTAATATTTCTCCAGCACAGTTGCATCATCTTTTTCCTTCATTCTCCACCCTGTCCTAGCCTTCCTGAACAAAAATAACACTATATCCAATAGCATCTCTACAAAGCAATGACAAGACATGCCATTCACTACTGGCAGGAGCTGGTCACCCATGGCTTACCTGAGAGTCCTTTCCCTGGATTGCTGGAGGACCTGAGCACTGATGGTGCTGAGCTAATAACATCTAGCTGCCTTCACACTTTCCTGTGTGCCTCAAGGAGCTTTTGCCCCATAAAAATGCATTTTGCTATATTTTTCTTCACTTTTTTTTTTTGTTGTCCTTTATCTTGCCTGGTACCCTAACCTCTGCCTCTGGATGCCTTTTTCACTATTTGCCTCTAACTGCTCAACCTGCTCTTTGATATTTATGCTCACACTTTTCAATCTTACTGTCCTTCCTTCTTGTGCCTTCATAGCCTTTCTCAGAAACTTTTCCTGGGGTAGCCTTGTTCTGTCCGAACTTATTCAGTTAACAGTTAAAACAGTTTACATTTTACAGCTACATTGGCTGTATAACTCTTTTATCTGCTTTGCCTATAATTTCTATCTTCATGTTTCTCTGCCTTCACTTCTTATACTGTGATTCTGTCAGGTTGTACCTTCAAACTCTCAAAAAAATCCACTTTTTAAATCCTGTGACCTGCAGTAACATGCTCCCCCAGCATCTTATTGTAGGCACCAATGTGTAATATAACAATAGCAAGAAGAAGCTGATATCTTCAGTTTACAGAGGGACAGAAAAATTTTAGGGGAACAGATGCTCAAAAGTATTTGTGCATTAACTTTTCCTGAGCACTAAGAATCTTATTTCATAACATTTCTGTTGGTAGCTCTTCAGACTTGGGGAAATCCTTTTCTCTGCTTCTTCTTCCTATCTGTCTGAGAAGCCAAAGGGGAGGAAAAGGTAATTTGTTTTGCCCAGATATGTGTGCTGACCCAGACTTACAGCACAGCCACTGAAGAGTTTAGGAGGTAGATATGAGCAGTGGGAAAGCAGATGGACTTTTTTCCTGTATTGAAAACATTCACCCAATGTTTTTCAGCTGCATTCAACCATGGAAAACTTCTTTGTGTGATTCCCCCCCTCTTTCTCTCCCTTCTTCACCCTTCTCTCAAATGAGGGTAAAACAAAAAGGAAGGGGACAACAATTTCAATATTCTAACAGAATATGCAATGCTCCTATCTGCAGGTCTGAAGATGGTTTGTTTCAAGTGACCCATTTTGTTCTGAAGGGTCTGCAGTGGCACCTGGATCTTCCTTCAGAAACCTGTTCTGTCTGTAGTTGGAGTTGCACAAACTGGCAAGTGTTTTCATTCTTCAAAGAAACTTTGCAAACAGATATGTAGGCTTCCCTTACAGCTTCTCTCTGAAGTGTTCTTTTTAAATGTTTACCCACCTCTCAGATACAGAGTTGTGAAAAGAAGACAAAGTAAAGTATTGAAATATTCATACCAATAAAACTAAATTCAACTTAATAATGAAACAAGGTTTTCCACAATAAAAAAAAGTGTTCTATCAAAGGGTTATCTTCATCTATTGCTACAGGGTGTGCTTTTGCTGAGGGAACTGGAGCAGTTCTGCTGAACTGCTGAGTTGCAGATGATTTCATGCATCAGGGCATATAGACAGCAAACAGAAGGGCATTAGGGATACCCTGGATATTACTGCAAGAAGAAAAAACATATAATAACCTTATAGGAGGCCAGTTAGCTAAATGAATAAAATTCTTTTGTCACTAGGAATTGTTTCCAACAGGCCAATGTAAAGGAATAGGTCAGATGGTGCAGGGTTGTTACAGATCTTCCCAAATTGATTGAGTCCTAAGCCACATGGCCTGCAAATGTAGAGCTTCCCTAGGACTCCCTGTGTTTCAGCACTGATGCTTTGTTGACCCTTGTAGTTTGTTTTTGGGCAGAGACTTTGTCTCTTTATCCTCTGTGGAAATTGCTTTTTTAGCATTAAAAGACTCATGGAGGAAAAAAAAAAAGGAGTGAGGTGTAGGGAGTGGTGGCTTTTATTTCTCTTGAAAAGAAATATGTCCAAACAAGGCACTTCAGACTTTAAACAAATATACACTTTGAAACACCCAAGTCATTGAACCAATGGAAAGATTTGGTTTCAACATCTCAGCATTTTCCTATAACTACTGTTTCATCAGAACAGTCCCAAGGAACTCTATTTTGGCATATATGCTTTTGTATTTATCATTGTTTTCTCTTGGGTTCAGGTCACTCAGTAAAGGAACCAACCATGACCGTGGAAACCAAACCCAGCAATGTCAACGACTCAAATCAGGAAACAGAACCTGACCAGGTTTTGGATGATGAAGTAAACAAAAATCCACCAGTCAAAAAGAAGACTTCCTCTTGCACTGGATTGAAGGTTTGGTGCCTCATCAATATCACCACAAATTACCATCATTAGATGTAAAGTAATGTTGTTCAAGATATGACATGCCAAATTCCTTCATTCCTGTTCCCCCTGTGTTTTCTGGAACTGGTTATACACTGGAGGTACAGAGGATAGTCAGATATTTGTCCTAAAGAAAATAAACATTCCTGATCTGACATATTTACTCACAAGTTACTCGTAGATGGATCCCCTTCTTGGTCATTAGAGCTAGTAACCTCCAGTGGAAGACTTGAACCAGCTTAAAATGGGTGCCTATGACACACTTGTCTGGAGGTTGCTGTCACCACCCATTCTTGTAGGGTCAAAATAGGGTGAGGTGAATCATATTCCAAGACATTTACCTAATCCAGAGCTGTAGGTCAAACAGCCCAGTGGTTCCCTCAAACCCAGAGGCTTTCAGGAGTGCACAAGAAGAACTGACTGAACAAAGCCTGTAAACTAATGAGAATTTTGCTATCATGTTAAAGCCTTACATGTATTGCTTCTGGTTGAACTGCAAATACTACAAGGGCAAGATTTCTTCTGACACTAATGTGTTTGGCTTTATGTTTTGACTGAATCTTCAACCAGCTTCATCTCAGGTTAAATTCCACAAACTCTGTGGAGTTGCAATCAGGGACACATTTCTCTCTATAAAAAGGTCTGTAAAATGAAAGATTAATGGAAAAAAACCAGGTAATTTCAAGCTTCTCAAGGATTGGAAAGAGTTTGGCTTAAGTATCAGGCAAAGGCTGTTATATTTCTTAATTTATCTGACTCACATTTGCCACCCATATACACCTGCAAAAATGGAACCAGATCTCCCTGGGAGCCTCACAGGACTAACCATCATATATGTGGGTAATACTGCAGATCTATGTCTAATCCTATGGCAATTAGAGTTTAACAGACATAATGCTGTGGAGGTAATAAATGATGAAGTGTTATTCTCCCTCATCTTCCCATGAAGTGTTTTGTGTTCTACCTGAGGATTGCACTTTCAAACCCAAAATACTCCAGTCATTTTTGTCTGTGTTTGCATGCTTATCTGCAGTTTCTGATTTCAGCCAAAGCCCCTGAGAGCACTGCTGGCATGAGGCAAGGAAACTGCTTCTCACAGACTTCTTGCCAGTCAAGCTCAAGAAATATAAAATATGTGTTGTGGTTTAACCCCAGCAGCAGCCAAGAACCACGCAGCCTCTCACTCACTCCCCCACCAACGGGATGGGGGAGCGAATCAGAAGGGTAAAAGCTACAAAAAGACAGTTTAATAGAGAAAGCAAAAGCTGCACACACAAGCATTAGCAAAACAAGGAATTAATTCACTGCTTCCTGAAGACAGGAGGTGTTTAGCCATCTCCAGGAGAGCAGGGCCCATCACGCGTAACGGTTCCTTGGGAAGACAAACACCATCACTCCAGATGTCCCCCCTTCCTCCTTCTTCCTCCCACCTTATATACTGAGCATGATATCCTATGGTATGGAATATCCCTTTGGTCAGTTTGGGTCACCTGTCCCAGCTGTGTCTCCTCCCAATCTCCAATGCATCCCCAACTTCCTTGCCAGCGTGGCAGTACGGAAAGCAGCAAAGGCCTTGGCTCTGTGTGAGCTCTGCTCAGCAATAACAAAAACATCTCTGCATTATCAACTCTGTGTTCTGCACAAAACCCAAACATAGCCCCATACTAGCCTCTGTGAAGAAAGTTAACTCTACTTCAGCTCAAACCAGCACAATATGTCAGGACAAAATCCACACTTGTGAGATTTTGTTATTCATTCCTGACAAAAGGAGAGTAAATGTATCTATTTTCAAGTTTTTACTTCCTGGTTTGGCTACATTTCTTATAGTAGATAGTATTGCAAAGTCTAAATCTATATTAGCTTCTGTTTAATTACCCAAGTTTGTGTTGTATTGGAACTTTTGCCCAGTGAGCAATAAGTCTATTTGTTTTTTAGACTATGTGGAAATAGTTGGATAATATTTAAACCAGCTTAGTTTAACTTTTTAGCAAATAAATCTTTATTTACAGAAGCCACAATGTGTGTTGCTGGAAGCAAGTATAAAATTACAAAAAGTATTAAGCTTTTCCTTATGAGGTACATGGAATACAGGCAACATTTCAAAATAAATCATCTGAGACAGAGATGAACTGAGTCAGTCTGTACCACCTTCCGCATACTGGGAAATTTGCATAGAGCCTTTAGTGTGATGTCAAGTCTTTCTATATGATTGAATTAGAACCACTTATAAACTGACCTAAAATAAGTGACATGTGGCCCAAGCAAAAGGCAATTTGGGCTAAGATTAACTCTGAGATGGACTAGTATCAATAAATCAATCCTGATTAGGCATTTTGCCTCTGGCAAATTTTACATTTCTGCAACATCTTTGGCACCATTTTGGCTGACCAGCTCTGGTCCTCAGCTTTTGGATAAATTTAACCACATATGTCGGCAAGGTAAGATATCCCCAGGGAGTTATTTGACAAATTTAAGTTCTGTAATCCATAGATTTCTACTTTAGCAAACCTCTGGCCAGCAATGCAGGGAAGATGAGGTTTTCTGGCAATTAGGATGGTTATTACAAACCTGACCCCTAAGGCAGGCAGCTGCTCTCAGTGCAGCACCTAGCACCCCTCTCCATCAGGGGAAACCAGAGCAGGGAGAAAACAGAGCTGAGACATCACCCTGGCACCCTGTAGTATTAGGGTGTATGAAAACTCACACACCATGTTGCCACTCCAATCTGAGTAACAAATATATATTATGATGACGACTGTTCCACACAGTTTTAAACATATGTGATCCCTCTCTGACCAGTTTCCTGCCTCTACCTCCCATTTTCTCTCTTAATCTTTCCTCAGGCGTTCCTGGCTGCTTTATCATTCAGCTACTTCAGTAAAGCATTGTCTGGTACGATCATGAAAAGTTCCATCACTCAGATTGAACGAAGGTTTGACCTGACATCATCTACTGCAGGTTTCATCGATGGGAGCTTTGAGATGGGTAATTGATATTCTGTACCATGCAGAAAAATGCTCAGACTAAAATCAGGCACAGCATCTGGCACTAATTTTGGTTCATTACCTTCCAGGTAACTTGCTGGTGATTGCGTTTGTAAGCTACTTCGGAGCTAAACTTCATAGGCCCAAAGTAATAGCTGTGGGATGTCTTACTATGGCTTTGGGAAGCTTTTTATCAGCATTGCCTCATTTCTTCATGGGATAGTAAGTAATAATCAACCTAACATTGGAATCCAATCCTGCTTTCAAGTTTCAAACAAAATATATTGTTTGAAAATCTTCAACCATTCTACTATGTTGGTGTTATTGCTTTAATGGATTTTATACTCCACCTGAATGGCAAACTGTAAGAACACCTTATTGGGAAAATTAGAATTAACTCAAGAATGTGGCTTCATTTGTTGCTGTGGAGATGTCAGGATCATGCAGGCAGGAAAGTCAAACCATTACAACCCACAATAAAATTACAAGGAATATTGAATGCACCTATGTGATTTTCAGAATAAGCTTGTGTTGTTTTGAACAGGACCTCAAAGCTCTGAGTAGATAACTTCATATTGAGGGACATCTCTACCTGAAATATGACTTTATTTATCATAACATGCGACTTGTGTAAAATCAGGGATTCAGAGCTTACTCACTGGAGAAACCAACACACAAAGAAAGATTTCTTTCATTGAAAGAAATCCTACTCCTTGCAACAAGAAACCTTATTGTGTAAGATGATGCATTTTGCTCTCCTGTGGCAAACAGCTGCTCCTCCCACAATGCACCCTCTCAGTTCCATGAAGAGCCTACAGATGGATCAGTGCTGGTAGAAGTGGTATCAGTGTTTTTCCTGTTCCAAGTGCACATGGCTCATTAAACTGATCTTCTGTATCTGGTTTAGCTAAATTTTATTCATCTTCTCCAGGCTCAGAGAATTACTGCATGTTGCTTATATGTGATAGTGTTTCTAGTCATAGCTTGGGCACAGCACATTTAGACTAAGACATATTTCTGCTGCTCTCTTAAATGAATTGTTAGAATAATAAAATTACATATTCTACTGTAAAAAGAAAACTGAGGAATGCTTTTTTTTCATGATAGTGGATCTTGTACTAGCATCAGACTTTTCATCAATTTCCCAGTGCTTAAGACAAACCATGTATCCTGCTCATCTACAATGGGAAACTCATAAAATTGCTCATGAACCTGGGCTTGACTGTAAGGAAACTGTTCTGCACTGTCTCTCCTGATGACTACTCTGTTTCAACCTGAAAAATAAATGTGCCTGGTCTAACAGAGTCAGCCCAGCTCCTAGAAGCAGAATGTGTGCTTTACCATGCTGTTCTGCTAAAGCTAATTGTACTTTGCACCTCAGCAGCACTCGTATCTGAGAAAAGGATGTTGTTAAAGCAGCTGAACAGCTCAGCTGCCTCCCTGCAGCATTGCCTTGCTTCCTGTAAATACAGCTAAAGAGCATCTTCTAGCCACTAACTTTATCTACCCACTACTATGCACCAGGTCTTTCTAAATCAAATGCTAATTATCAGGCAAACAGGTTCCACCTGGAGATGACTCCTCGCTCAGAACCCCAGTGGCACAGAATGGGTTAGGTTGGAATGGACCACAATGGGTTATCTGGTCCAACCTCCATGCTCAAGCAGGGCCATCCTAGAGCACATGGCACAGGAATGTGTCCAAATCATTCTTGAATATCTCCAGTGAGGGAGACTCCACTGCCTCTCTGGGCAATTTGTTCAGTAAAGTTCTTCCTTTTGTTCATGTGGAACTTCCCATGCATCAGTTCGTGTTTGTCACCTCTTGTCCTGTTGCTTAGCACCACTGAGAAGAGCCTGATCCATTCATTCTTTTGACACCTTCCCCTCAATCCTATCTGAATTACTTTCAAAAGCCCTTTTGAATTTCCCAGCTTAAAATATTACATATCCCAGACAGAGGATTCTAAGATTAATTGGTTCTTCATTTTAGTATTTTGTTTTTCCAAAATGTGCTTAAAAAATCTTCTTGTTTATTCCTTCAGTAGCACTTTGAATTGATATTTAATGTAAGATACCTTTTTCTTTAGGGAAACAGCAGCCAAGTGGTCCTTGCCCTACCACACTAGTATTTCCCTAGTGAGCACTGCTTCTAAATCCACTGTGTTTGTGTTTGCAGTTATAAATATGAGACAGCATCACATACAACTTCTTCAGACAACTTAACTTCGAGCATAAATCCCTGTTCCTTACATCAAGATGTGAATGACAGCATGTTGGAAGTCTCACAATCAGGTAAGCAACTGTAAGTGTAAATAGAAATACAAGAGCTAGTTTTATCCTTAGTTGCAAGTGGAATAAGTCATTGCCACATGCAAGATGCTCAGGATTTTTCTCTACTGAGATGAACTTCAATCTCTACCTGCCTAGGAACATTAGCAATGCTTAAGTGCATTTTGTTCACCTCTTTTGGAGAAGAAGCATCCAGTAAACACAAATTATAAGGATACAGATCCCCAGTTTTCTATGTTCACAGTCACAAATTACAATAAATCACCTCAACAATGAAGGAGATGCTGAGACTGGAATGGATTCAGTCATCCAGGACCTGGAGCTAGTGAGGTGGAAGAGATAGTGTGACAGGATATGAAACTGCCAAGAGTTTACTAGAAACAAATGGAGATTCCTGTTAACTTCCTTACAATATGAAGTACAGCTGGTTTACATGTTGCTTTGCATGGCATACAGGGAGAGAAAGAGCAAAGCTGTGCCCCAGAAACCATCTGAAACTTTCACATTAAAGACACATGTTATATGTCAGGTAATATATTTATGACAATATAAATCTGCCTTGTTTTTTGTAATGAGTTTGTTTTTTTCTGATGGGTGATACTGCATTTTTAGAAACTAAATGCAATGGAGGTGGAGGAAAGTGTTATTAAAAGTTTATAGTGAGGTTGATGGCCTTTCATCAGTCTTCCACAAGGAAAACGCTGTTAATCCCTTAAATACTAAACTATAATGATTTGATGTGCTGAATTTCCTGTGATTTGTCACTGTTTCCCATTCAACTGTTTTATTACAAAAATGCAAACTCTCGTCTGCAGGTTGTGAGAAGGAACCATCATCAAATATGTGGATATATATCTTACTGGGAAACATGTTACGTGGCATTGGTGAGACACCAATAACACCATTGGGCATCTCTTATCTTGATGATTTTGCTAAAGAAGAGAATGTTCCTGTGTACGTAGGTAATCTCAACACGAAGTAAACCAAGAGATTCATACTATAAGAGGTCGATCACCCTCTGCAGAAGAAAACATTCAGCCATTAAAGTGTACTAGCATCTGCTTCATTGTATTTTCAGCATGTTTGCACACAATAGCCATGTTGGGCCCGATATTTGGTTTCCTGTTGGGATCTTTATGTGCAAAACTGTATGTCGATATTGGATTTGTGGATCCAGGTAAGCAAAACAAAGGAAAAGTGGAAGTAAGCCAATACCTGTTCATGACAGGTTCCTCTAAACAGTTTTAATGATATTAATTCTATTAATATAAGTTAGATTTAATTTAGATTTTTTCCATAAACTTTATCATGTACTTATATATATTATATATGCTATGCAATTTTATTAAATTGCTGAAAGCTTTTAGGGTAAAGGCAGAATTAGACAGGGAGCATGTTTTAGACTTGTGTTTTAGGATTAAAGGATTACAGTACATGTTTAACTTTAAGAGTTAGTACCAAGCACTCTCACTCTTGGATCTCCAAGGTGTTTTACTAAACTGGGCTCTTAGAGAAAGGATTCTTCTAACATAACAGTTTTCCAGTTTTAGGGCATTACCTGCCCTTTCAACCGAGTATTTAATATTTTTTACAATTCATGTAATGTTTGCAGTGCATTATACAACCAGCTACTCTCACCTTCCTTGCAACACAACTTTTAAAGCCATGGCAAATCTCACTGATGCCACAGAGAATGCCTGAATGCATAATAGCAAGCTGCACAATGAAGGTGTGCAGAGGATGCTCTCAGTAGAAATGTATCAGCCCTAAAAGCAACTCACGAGTGCCTAAAAGCACCACATTGTGGCCTGTCTGCCACCCATTTTGGTTTCCCATGTGCTGGGTAAGGACCTAAGTGTTGCCATGTCTGCCACAAAACATCACTCAGTGTAAGATGTAAAAACGCAGATGAAAGATCTCTGCAGTGACAGAACAAGGGGTCATGGCTTCAGACTAAAAGAGAGTAGATTTAGATTAAGAAATTCTTTACTGTGAGGGTGGTGAGGCACTGAATAGGTTATGCAGAGAAGAGCTCCATCCCTGTAACTGTTCAAGGCCAGTTTGGATGGGTCTTGGAGCAACTTGGTCTAGTGGATGGTGTCCCTGACCATGGCAGGGAGTTAGAACTAGATGACTTTTAAGGTCCCTTCCAACCCAAACCATTCTGTGATTCTGTAACAACATTCAGGTTCAGCTTCTTTGTTTATGTAACTTGTGTCTGTTTCCCTCCATTCTAGGAAGCATCACTATCACCCCACAGGATTCCCGCTGGGTGGGTGCGTGGTGGCTTGGTTTTTTAATAGGTGGAGCAAGCAGTCTCCTATCTGCTATTCCATTCTGCTTCCTGCCAAAGAGTCTGAAAAAGCCAGAGGAAGCCAATAATGACAAAACTTCATGTGGTCTCTTGGAAAATACGAGTGCCATGGGGAATAAACTTAGGCCTGCAAAACCTAAGCCAAAGAAGTTGTCAGCAATGATGAAAGGCAAGTGTTTCCCATGTATAAATGTGTAAAGCAATAGGCACAATGTACATCAGGAATGAAGAGCTCTGCAAAATATTTTGCCTCCTGTGCAATTCCATCTACTAAAATGTACTACAATTTACTCAAATATACTAAAATGACTGATTTAGTCAGCTGCCCCCAGGAAAGGAGAGGTCTGCTAAAAAGTATTAGAAGTGAAAGAGCTTGTTCAAGACTCTGAGGTTCTGCATGCATCACCTGCAATAAATCATTGCCTGAGTGGCACTGACCTCTAAAATTTTGTGCTAGAAGACATTTAAATAGTGGAAAAGTGTTTTTCCTTATCAGGATGTAAAGAAAATATTAGAAGGCTCTTTTTGCCACATGGAAAGACAAATTATTCATCTGATACAGCCTATGGAATCTCTGAGGCATGTTGTTACCTGATGCAAATACAGCAGGCTTGAATAACAGCTCTGGTTGTGCAGTCTTTAGGCCAAGAGAGGGCTGAAAATGTGATGGAAAGAGGTGGCTGTGCTTCATTAGCCAAATTCTCCTGTCTTTGTTCAGATCCCAGTGGAAGACATTGGACATCTCCACATAGGCAGCTCCCACTTAGCTGTGCAACTGTGATAATATTCATGTAAGCTGAACAAAGTGTTTGCTGTGTGGAGCCCTTTAGTCTTCATGTGCAGATCTCAACAGAGCATCCAGGCCTTAACCCATATTTCTGTCTTCTTTCAGGATTCTCCTCCTTTATCTTAACCTGTGGTGCTTTTCAAGAACCTGATTTTGCTTTCAGATACTCTCAGTCAAATGAAGATCAGTACAACCTGCTCTTGGACAGCTGAGAGCAGGACTTTGCCCTAAGTTTTGCAGGTTACTCACCAGTAATTATGCCATGCATCTTTCCAAACCAACTCATATGTCCCTTTCTTTCAGATTTCTGTACCTCCCTGAAAAAAGTATTGAGTAATCGAATGTACTTTACATTATTATGTGCCTCACTGTTACAGTTCAGCAGTTTTATTGGTTTCTTGACCTACAAACCAAAGTACATGGAACAGCAGTATGGACAATCTACATCCAAATCTAACTTTCTAATAGGTGAGTTACACCATGCAAGAACTGTTTGTGCTATAAGCAGTGCATGGGGCTAAGTTCTGTGTGTTTTATCTGGGACTGAATTCCTGCCAGGACAGGTTGATGTAAATGGTGGTTTCTCCCGAACCTGAATTGTAAGAACTGCAGATTTTGTGCATATAGGACATTGTTTTGTTATGTTATTATAGCAAGAGCACCCCAAATATGCAATAAGTGTAGTGTGGGAGTTTTAATTGCTGAAGCATCTGACAAGGGCCTTGCAATGGAAGTGGGTTTTGAGGGCTGGGCACTTTTCAAACAACACAGAACCAGACTGAGCACAAAGCCACCTAGAGTCATCACAACAGAACATAAAGCTGCTAGGGACATCAGCCTGAGGACAGGTTTTGTCTCTTCAGCCCATTATAATTCTTTAATTTTAATATTCCCCTTCTATAATCTCTTCCAGGAGTGACATCCTTACCTCCTGTAGGTATTGGAATTTTCCTAGGAGGGCTTATAATGAAAAAGTACAAAATGGGCATCGTTGGAGCAACCAAGTTCTCATTTGCCATGTCATTTTTGTCCTATGCTGTCAGTTTCTTGCACTTTTTTGTTGGCTGTGATAACTATGTGGTGGCAGGAATGACAGTGTCCTATGAGGGGTGAGTATGAAGTCAAGAACATCAAGGCTGAAAGAGGAACATGCTTTTGCAATGCTTAAGAGAAAATGAACACTACCACATGTCATTGTAACAGTTTTGTGGGTCAGCAGTGTCAGCCTGCCAAAGCCCAGTATTCGTTAAAGATTAACTAGAAATACAACAGCAAAATTGCATCATTATCAATATAGATTGTTTGGCTGGGGGGGAGTGTGATACTGCTGTTTCACCCAGTGCTACCTCTATACCAGAAGCAATTCTCTACCAGAGTGTATTCAGTAACCATATGCACAGAGGCCATTGGTAGCAAATCCTGCACAGAGATGGAAAGATTAAAACTTGGTAGACTCTCAGCCTACTGTAAAACAAAATGAAGCTTTTATGCCTACTGAAGATGCTCTTTCCTCTCAGAAGAGAGCACGGGTTTAAAATTTGCAAGGTGTTATTTTTTCTTAGAGTAATAGGGATGTGTGCTGGGATCTGTCTGTCCAGGGGGCCCAGTAACACACTAGGATGTGGGTTGTCACTGCCTCATGTCCAGCCTGCTCAGAGTACCTCATGGCTAGTGTGATCCTGTCTGCATCTCCTGAAAGACTTACTCACAGCTCAATAATTTGTCCCTACCATTCATTTGTCAAGCCATACTGGTTCAGAGCTGAAAATGTGGAGCTGGGCCAGGAGAATGTTTATATTTGTTGGAACATGAGGTCTAATCATTGCTTAACCTGTACTGTACAAGGTTTTCACTAAGAATGCAAATGTTGAACCAGAGAATACACTTAGTAAGCACTGAGATGAAAAAAATGGCAAGCACATAAGATTAATTAACCCAGAAAGGACAAAACGAGGGAAAACATCCTTCTTTGCTCCAGATCTCAATACCCAAAGGATGTCTGAAATTAAAAGGAAACCCTGCGTTCTCCATATCCTCTAGGAAAAGTTAGGCTAGACTTGAAGGGAGGAGTTTTTTTTAACTATGAAGACCAGGAAATTTAGTTCCTATATTGGTGCAATTTTTTACCAACAGCTGAAGACATGCTTGATAAGACTGTGATAACTGTTGCTAGTTCTAAGTTCAATTAGGGAATAGTCTAGCTGACCTCACTCCTTTTTTTCCTGTCTACCCCTGCCAGTAAAATCAGTAGCAATGTTTTTATTTATTTTAAAATTCTTTATAACCTAAAGGGTATCAGTGCAAATAGGATGGAACCTCAAACAGATCTATACTGTAGAGACTCAGCCATGAAAATTTATGCTTTGAGTCTATGAGGGGGTTTCAGCACAGCAACACTGTGTGACACAAAAGGGACTGCACTGACCTCAGCATTGAGTTAACTTCTTACACTTGTCTGAACTTAACTTCCAAGCAAACCCATTCCATACAATGAAAATTCCGTGTTTTCTGAGTGCAACTCTCACTGCCATTGTGCCTCCAATGTGTGGGATCCTGTGTGTGGAGACAATGGAATCACATATGCTTCGGCGTGTCTGGCTGGGTGTGAGTCTTCGGTGGGACATGGAAAGAACATGGTAAGACCCTGCCTCAGTTTCTGAGGTTTTCTACCAGCTTATTTTCCATGTAACATCAGGAATTTAGGAGTATAATGCATTTAAGGAGAACCAAACTTACTGGGGACCAGTCAGTAAAATATTTATGATTTCTGACTACAAACAACGCAGAAGACAGAGAGACTTCTCTGAGTTAGAGCAAAGCTCTAGGTCCTTGGTGTAGATACTAATTTCCATCTTTTGTACAAGAGGGGGAAACAAACAAATCAAATTTGTTACATGTTGCCTGAAGGTTGTCCATAACTTGCCTCTCATAAACCTTGTTTTGCCTGCCCAGGGGTTTTAGCCAACAGATGAAGTACACTAAGATAGTGTAGTACCTTCATTAATGCTTAAGTATGAATAACGGCACAAAGGCCTAGGCTATCCTCAGAGGTCCTGCAGGTACTTTAAACATCATCCAAAATGGATTGCTATGTCCACTGGCAAAAAAATGCTGCTATAGAACATCCCTTCCAACTCTGAGCACTGTTTGTAGAAAAGAAAAGAAGAAGTTGTTGTCCATTGCCTCAAGAAAGGAAATTATATAGGATTGGGATGGTTAGGAAGGCTTCAGGCTCTGCATGTGTCTGAGGGTAGGAATCCCCATTATATGACCAGTATCCTACCAAACCTCCTTTGTGTCTTCCAGGTCTTCCATAACTGCACCTGTCTTCAATTGAGCAGTTCATGGACAGGAAACAACTCTGCCACCTTAGGGCAGTGTCCAAAAAGTGAAGATTGTTCAAGGATGTTTATTTATTATACAGTAATACAAGTCATAGGTGGGTTTTGTTACGCACTGGGAGGCACTCCAGCATACACCATTATGTTTAAGTAAGTACAAGTTGTGTACCAAAGGTGGAGGCTTTCCAATGAACCTTTAAAAATCATGTTTGTTTCTTTCCCTTAGGAAAAGAAAAACTTTTCTTGCAGTGTAGCATGTTTACTTTAATGAGTTTTGTCATTTTCCATGTGTTGGTAGCTGTTATATCAAACCTTGCTTTGCTGCTATCTGCAAGCCAGTTCCAGTGTGTTGCCTCTAAGTACTGCAAAATGGTTTCTCTTAGGAGCTGTAGTGGTAGGACAAGGAGTAATGGATTCGAACTGAAAGTGGGAATGTTGAGGTTAGATATACAGAAGAAATTCTTCCCTGTGAGGATGGTGAGGCACTGAACACGTTGCTCAGAGAAGTTGTGAATCCTTGAAAGTGTCCAAGGCAGATTTGGATGGTGCACTGAGCAATCTGATCTAGTGGAATATGTCCCTGCCCATGGCAGAGGGTTGGAACTAGACGATCTTTGAGGTCTTCCAGCCCAGACCATTCTGTGATTCTATGCTCAGGTTTTCTAGAACATGCTCTTTTTCTCTGCTTGGACATTCTTACTGTATGGATTTTGAAAATGCCATGCATTTGGCAGGATTTCCAGATGTGTAAGGATCTGGCAGAGGCTGGATATATAATGGATTCAAGATCAGTGCCCATCTCTGATGCCTAGAGTGTGGCTCCTCCTGAAACAGATGGGCATATTGCCAGGTGGCTTTGTGCAGTTCAGGATGTGGTGCTGTACAGAGGAAAGTCATTTAAGCACAGAAAGATGCTGCACTAATGACACTACTTGTAACTCATTTGTCGTAGGGCAAGAAGATATTTCCCATCAAGTAAGGGAAATGTGTGCCTGGGGATATTTCCCATCAAGTGAGTAAGGTATTCCATCAAGTAAGGGAAATGTGTGCCTGGGAGTTATGGCAGTTGGAGAGTCCATTTCAGTTCAACTAGGATAGACTGTGACTGACTTTAAAATTTCACTTTAATTATGCTTAATGAATGGACTTCCCAGGAGTTATGTGATGGAAATCAGTAGATTAATTCACCTTTTCATACCACTTAACACATTTTCAGCAGATGTAGGAAGCACTCTTCTTCCAAATCTTGGCTTTCTGTCAAAAGAGTGTTACATTCAGGGTAGTTAACAGCAGTTTAATAGGCATATCTAAGCACTAGATATGCCAATACTTCATACTTATCACTCTTTTTTTGCAGATGTGTTCAGCCACAGTTGAGAGCTCTTGCAGTTGGTCTATACACACTCATTTTGAGAATGCTAGGTAAGAGAAATCATTCTGACTAAATGAGATGTTTGCGTGTATGGCTTTAAATGATACCAGTGTAATCACTGTTTGTAAACCAGATGTGTCCTTGAAATAGATCCTGGGCTCTTCCTGAATATCCTGGTTTTTTCTGAAGGTCTAATATTTGCTCAAGTGTTCATTGGAAAACTTGCTAACTCAATTCTGAAAGTCTTTGACCTGCTGACTAAATGGTGTTGCAGTTTGGGAGCCTGGTGTTCCAAAATGGGAGGAGTTTATAAGCAAAATTAAAGCCTTAGGTTGAATTTCTGAACAGCACTATAAGATTTCAAATTTATGACTCAACCAATAGCTCACTAAGACACAATGCTGCAAGATCTTCAGTGACTCAGAGATCAAATCTGTTGTGCTTCTCTCTTCCTTCACTAAGGAACATCCAAAATGAGCATTTGTCCCTCTACAGCACAGATGATCATATATACACAGGCCTTTATAGACAGATGACTGAGCTCAGACTCTCACAGGAGGCCTAGGGTAGAACAGGCTGAGAATATCCCTGTTTTTACAGAATAAATGATTTTCTATATAAGAATGCAAGATGCTCCTGTAGGAACAAAGCTAATGTGAAACATGGTCCTGCACAGGCCGAAACTTGGATATGTCTGAAGTTAATGCTCACCTTTACTCCAGCAAGGCTAGGATTTTGTCCCATGGCTGTCATGTTTTGCAATAAAGCAAAAGCTCATATCTGGCCAAATCACACGAGGATTTCAGTTGTTTTACCCTCTCTCAGGCAGAAGGGACTATCAATCAGTGTGGACAATTTAGGCTCTGCATAGAAGAGGGAGCTATGCATCAGTTCTCTGCTCCAAATACACAAGTCCAGCTCTCCCTTGCAGGAGCTTAGGATGCACTGAAAGGCAGCAGTGGCTCTCAGAGCCATGACTGAGAAACTAATGTGCATGACTGTAAGCCTGGCCAAACCCATCAGATCACATTTCCTGGGGACTGATGAGCCCCATGGCATGGAGACAGGGTCCCAGCTCACAGTTACTCTGATAAAGGAAAGGAAAAGCTCCCCACAGTCCAACTCACCCATTGCCACTATTGCAGCAGGTAACTCAATGCTAAGAAAATATAAAGCTGATTTCTAGAAAGATGTCTTTTCCTGTTCAATCTTGTGACATTTCTGCTCGTCTCCTTGCAGGTGGAATTCCAGCACCAGTTTATTTCGGAGCAGTGATCGACAAGACATGCTTGAAATGGGGAAGCACAAGCTGTGGGCAGCGAGGGGCTTGCAGGCTCTATGACTCCAATGCACACAGGTAAGGCAAATTAGGGCACAAAAAGCCTTTTTATTCTCTACAGACACATGCTTTGTGCTCTTACACTGTAGCATGTGAGGCCACTGATCAAAAATTATCATCAGATAGTAACTCTAGACTCAGACTTAAGTTGGTCCAGAATTCCTGAAGTTGAGAAATCTCAAGATCACATGTTAAGCTCTCAGTTTTCAGTCAGTTGTGCAAAAGAAATTTTGTCTCATGGCAGAGTTCTGGAATAAATTGTGGTTTTTAATAATTTTTGACCCAAATAAAAAGACCTAAGGCTTTAGGATTTACCATCAAGAGGAAAGTTATCCAAATTTACCTTATTTGCAGGTAGTTTATTCATAGTGTCCAGAATGTTAACTCTGTGCTTTGGCCACTTTTAAGAGAGAAATTAATCCATGAATACCATGATCAGTAGCTGAAGATCTTGGTTAAACCCAAACACTATTGGTCTCTAAGAGGAATATTCCAGAGATTTTTCTCAGTTTCACCCAAGCCTTGGCCACTTCTGATGTGTTGGTTTGGGTTTTTTTACATATAATAGCCCACTCTGGTGACCTCAAGATATTTCTAGCCCTAAAAACTCCAAGGCCTCAAAAAATCAAAAACTTTTCAGAAACAAAGGGAAGATGATGGAAGTTTTGTTTTGCAACTATTTTCATAAGCAAGAAGAATATTATAAATTCTTTAATGGAAGGTTTTGCAAGCAAAAATGTCCATTTTGTGGTACCATTCATAAAGAATGAGTTTTAGGGCTTTTTCCCTAAGCTTTTTTGGTATATACCTGATCCTTAAAAGCCATTAAAGTGATTGTCTTCAGGGCCTGTGAGAAATTCAATGCCTGGCACTATCTCCTATGCTCTGTCCTACAGGTATGTCTTCCTTGGTTTAGCAGCAGTGTTAAGAGGTCCTTCCTTCTTGATTGCAATCATTTTTTATATATTGGTAAAGAAACACTTTCAGAATAAGAACTCCAAGACTATAGAGAATGGACGAGAAGATGTTTCTATGAATAAAGAAGATAATTGCAAGGTCAAAGAACGTTTGCCAGGTGCTTCTGATGCAGAGAATGAATCCTCTATTTAGAAAGCCATTTAGGCCAGTGGCACATGAATCAGGACAGCTTCTGTTAGAAACAACCTTCACAATGCTATCAGCAACTAAACAATAATAACACTGTTCAGAAAGTATAACTAATAGCAAACCTGCAATCAACAACAATAAAAACTAACATACAAGTATGAAAGTGCCTTACATGTCCCTAGTTAGCAATGACAGACAGAAGAAGTTGCACAAACTGAACCAAATTCTCAACACCCAAAGAAAAACATTCCATGGAATTTCCTGTAGAGCCAGTCTGCTGGTTTTGGTGGGGTCAAAGATGATTTGAACAGCCACATGCCAAAGACCCACAAATGGTGATGCTGATCCTGTATGCAGATCCATACAGAAAACAGGAACGATGAGCTCAAGGCTAACAGACTCAGTATTCACAGCAAACCAAAGCATTTAAGCAAAGCATTTCCACCTTACCTAAATGAATCACTGCAACCATTTTGCATTGCAAAACTGGCAAAAGCTTTATTTTTCCAAGCAGCATTTTACCTCGGCTCAGCTGAATGCCTACTTAAAACTACAGACAGATTTCCATAAAATAAGTAACTGCTTTTAAAAGTCTCAGAGTTGTAGCATTTTAGTTAAAACTATTTTTTGGGGTAAAGTGATTATGAAACATAAGAAATACTCTGAATTTTGTAGTGCTGTTGTTTTCTAAGGAAAATCCATGCTCGTGGCCGCGTTGCTGTGGCACACAGTGTCCAGCAGAGGGCACCCAATCGAGAGCATTACCCCCACGACAACTATCGACACGTTTGTCATGTCCTGTCTTGGTTATTCTGGGACAAGTTTCAGCATCAGGCTTAAAACACCCACCTGTGTTTCCATACACCTCAAAATTTCCCCAGCACGAGCCCTTAGCGCACATATTCAAAGCTGCTTTTGTGTATTTGTTGGTTTGTGTTTGTCATGTTTGTGTCACTCAGAGCTTGACAACTTGTTATTACTTTAAATAAAAAACAATGTGTACATGTGTGCCAGTTCATAATAGGGATTGAATTGGGGGGGGTTGATATTTTAAAATAGATGCTCAGGGCTCAGTGGGATACAGTTAATAGATATGTTAGATTTTTTTTTTAAAAAGTACATTGAGCAAAATGCTGAATTGTTCTGAAATAACTGTTGTCTGCCATGACAGTCCCTTAGCAATGCTTGCAGCAGCTGTAGGGGGAACAATAGGACTTTTTTTACCCAAACGAAGTGGTATTTACTGGAGGTAGAGATTCTCCATCCAGTAAAAGTAGAGATGTTCTTTATTATTCTTTAGCCTGGAGAAGGGAAGGCTCAGGGGAGTCTTTATCACTCTCTACAACTCAGAAGGAAAAGAGGTTGTAGCCGGGTAGGGATCGACCTCTTCTCCAAGGTAGCTAATGACAGGACAAGAAGAAATGGCCTCAAGCCCTGCCAGAGGAAGTCCAAGCTGGATATCAGGAAGAATTTGTTCACTGAAAGGGTGGTCAGGCATTGGAAGGGGCTGGCCAGGGACATGGTGGAGTCACCACCCCTGGAAGTGTTCAAGAAATGAATGCACGTGGTACTTAGTGCCATGGTCTAGTTGAAAAAGTGGAGCTCAGTCACAGATTGAACTCAATGATCTTGGAGGTCTTCTCCAGGTTTTCCAGGTTTGTGTGCAGTGCTATGACCTTAATGTCTGAATCAACTCAGTTTGCATGAGGTATATACCATCCTATTGATGTTACTGTAGTTTTAATCTGGAGCAGAATCTACAGGCAATAAAACACGTCACAGACATATGACACAAAGGTTAAAAAAAGAATCTGTCAATTTTATTTTGGTGACAGTTTATCTACTGATGCAAATCTATCCACTTCGAATAACTTGATTTACCTGTCCAAGCTGGCAAGCTGGCTCATCTAAAACAGTGTCAAAGACTATCTGTTTGGGTTTTTTCATTTCAGTATTTACAGATTGGTTTTCTAGGCAAAATGCCCATCTGTCACACATTATATACAATACAGCACAACAACAGAGCTGACTTTACTTTCCAACATATGCATTTTTGTTCATAATAAAACCCTTGGAATTTACAAAATACCAATAATTTAATGTATCAGTGAGAAGTATGAAAACGTAAGGGACACATTAGAGTTCTGTGCAATCCCACCCTGAGGGCCCTGTTGGATTAAGGTCACAAACCTGACCAGGGATGGACCACTGATGTGTTCAACTCAGTTCAAGGGCAAATGCCTCATATGCAGTCCAAGTGTTTCAAAAAGTGATTGTCGAATTGTTTGCTGCATTCATCTCAAATCTTAGCAGTTATCAATTTCCTTTAAAAGATACTTGCAGTAATAGCACCAGTTAGTTTTCACAGCCACCTTCTCGTGCCTGCTTTCTGGAATTCCTTACTTACACTCACACTAAGTACCTGCAAGTATTTACTTGCAAAAGCTCCTTAGTTTCCAATTCTTCACACTATTCTTATTTTTTTCGTCCTTCAAAACAGATTTTGAGGGAGAATTCAATAGCTGACTCATTCCTGAATCATCATTAATTTCAGCCCACTAGTCTTTTTTTAATCCTCATTTTAATACACAGTATTTAAAGTTGTTCGTTGTTTTCATTGAACTCAGGAATGCATTGCATTGATTAACAAAACAGCATTATGGAGGGCAACGTTGTCTGGTTTTCTGCAGAAGGAAACTCCAGTAAGGGTGGGGCCAGCTCACCCTGAGTTTTTTCTAAAAGGCCATGCAGATACACCAACTAGCTGTGACTCACAGCTGTGGCAGCCCATGGGGTTCAAGGAAGAGGACCAGCACATCCAGAGCTGTGGTCTCCCACTACTCATCATGAATCAGCACTCCCAGCGAGACATCAGGCTCCAGCAGCTCTCTATAGGTGAGCCAGACTAGAAACCACTTTTGTTGTCAGGGACACACAGGCTGAGGGACCAGAGAAGCTCAGCAGCCATGGATGAGCGACCTAAAAGCAGAATATCCTTGGGGGATGCCCTCTGACCTCGTCTGTATCTGCACTGATACTTCTTCTGTGACAATGCCATCTGAGCTATGGGAAGGGCAGAACTCAGTAGATATATATGATATCCAAGTGTGAGATCAAGTATAATAATAATTTTAGAGGCATGAGCTAATAATACATACCATCAGCATTCCATTGATAAGATGATACTAAAATAAATATACTTCAAATGAGGTTAAGTCATTTATGGGTTTTGCAGGTAACAAGAGCATCCATTCATTTATGCAGCAATGTATGATGATTTCTTACCTGGTGATTTCAGAGGAGAATAAAATGCTGCATTTTTATATAAATGCCTTATAATGCAGATGAGGGGATGAATTATTTAGGCTTGATAGTCACTGACTCAGAATGTCTCTGGTTTAAGATGCAGATCTGTTATAATAGTTTTAGTAATACTTCTCAGGGTTTTTTTCCTGCATCATGTAGGTCTTTTTCTGACAAAATCTCAAGGATTCATGAAAATACTTTGTCTCCACCTGTATTTCTCTTGTAACAGTTGCTGTATAGCCTCATTTAAGTGTATTTCACTGAACTACTGGAATCTGCTGACCTGTTGCTTCCTGGTAGTCTTAATCACTCAAGACTTATTACTTAGCTTTTTCATTAAATGTGGTAATCACATTACAGCATCTTTAGAAGACCTAACTAAAAAAAAAAAAACCAAACCTGCACTTCAGTCTAATTGGAAAACAATCCCAGGCTTTCTGCTTCCAGACCCATGCCCAGACCACTAGGCTATTAGCCAGAGACACCCAAAAAACAGTCTGTGTCCAACAGGTAGGCCAGGCAGGAGCTCTCCCAGCACAGAACACGGGTGAGTGGCTGTGTAGGAAGTTCTGGCTTATCAACTTCAACCTCATGGGCTTTTCAGTGTTTCTGGGTGGCTCCTTTGTTCCACCTACACTGGTGGAAGACAACCCCCTGCCTCAAGTTGCCCATCCCATGCAGGAGGGATAAGTTCCAGGAATAGAACCATAAATGCAGCAATACCACAATTGGTCTCAGACAAGACCAAGTTTACCAACATGCAATGCACAACCTGTCCAAACCCACATAATAACACCACTGTGCTGCATTTGGTCAGCTTAAAAGTGCCCTGATTGCACAAGGAAGAAATTGTGTCCCAACCTTCTTAGCCTGAGACTGTAACACAATGGTTTCCAGACCTAAGCTAAGGGCTGCCATCTCCTCCAGTTGGTTGCTGGTGCATTAGGTAGGGCTCAGGCTCAAGCATCCACCCTATCCTTAGTGTAGATCTGTCCAAAGAGATGGACTAACACCTTAGGACATACAGAGCATGCAAAGATTCTCCCTATGGCCACTATTCTCTCTTAGAATTCAGGGCTCTGCACAAACAAAGAATTTGCTTTCTCTAAAAGCATCCTCTGTCCTTACAGATCACTTTCATACTAGTGCAGAGAGGCCTCATGAAGGAGTCTGCTTGGCCTCAAAATTCAGGTGCACCTGTGGCAAGAATTTTTTGGGGTTTAATTCTTGGCCAACTCAAAGTGTGATTTAGTTATGTTTAAGTAGCTCAGAATAAATACATGAATTGGTTAGAAAGTAAGATATGTAAGTAACACTGGAGAAAAACCTCATGTGATTCAGACTGATATTAACACTTTCACCTGGAAAGAACTCTGACCATATTCCAAACTAGAGGAAGGCAAAATGACTATATATATTCCATAGTGAAAACTGGTAGACTAAATCTAATGTCACCTTTCTCCTATATTATAAAACACTTCAAATGCTTTAAATTTAAATTCACAGCCTGAAGTATTTTCTGTTTATTCTGCAACAGCTAGTACTCTATTCCCAACTTATTTTTGTGCCAGAATAGACAGAAATTGTTGATAATGGGGACACAAAACCCACAGGAGGGACTGGCTTTGTAGGTTACATGATCCTAATGCATACAGAAAACTGTGGGTTTAGGGCTGCTGGGGTGTTTTTTTTCTCTT